GTTGCACAATTACCGCTAAGGTTCTTGAACATTCTTCGACTTATTGCACAATTACCCCTCAATAGTTTTTGCTTCAACAGATTGCACAATAACGGTTACCCCTTAGTTTCTTCCACACAATGCACAATAAGTAAATAACCCCTTTATGTTAACAGGAGTTTCTTCGACATATTGCACAATGTCATTTGATGATGATGTTGTGAACGGTGGGACTCCATCTCCTACGGCATGGATGCTTCGCTTGTGCACAATTTGTAGGCCTAATAGGGTTTGCAAGGCCTTGCAGGAGGCCCACGCTGAGTCGCTGACAGTATCACTATTCGTACTGGGGTAATCGTTGTCTTGTCATGTCAAAGTGGAGCATGTCGAGGGGTCGTCGACTCGTCGGGACTGCACTGCGGGTTGGTGTAGGTTCCGTAATGTTACTCGCGGTTGCGGAAGTGGAAGGCATGCAATTGATGGACCCGGTCCGACGTGTTTCTTGTGATTGTGCTGCACACCCGTTGCCATGGTCTGTTATTGCACACAGAAATTGGGTTGTTGTGTATGTCAGCACTGGCATGGGGTCTTGAATCTTGATGCTGAAGTGCAACCTGTTGCGAGCCGATACGAGGTAGTGAGGACGACAGTCATGTGCATTGAATTATGAATGTCGATATTCGTAATGTCAATATTTGTGGTTGTCGGCATCAATTGCAAGGATTGCTCGTTGGTCAGCGGCGTGATCATGATCGACTCCTGAAAACTTGAAGGACGTACACTGACATGTGTTCAAATTGTGCCCTTGTTTTGCTGCACGAGGATTGACCACAAACATTAACTGCAAAAAATGCTCAATTCCAGAACAAAGGGAAGAGAGAGTGCATCCATAGGGAGCGTATCAACCATCAATTGTATATGTATATATATATCATCACAAACAGAACTGCCCGGTAAACCGTAGGCAGAGAGAGAGAAGAAGACAACAAACGAGGGGCTGTGTATATATATATATATATATATATATATATATATATATATATATATATATA